TCTTGCTCAGGATCAATCTCTGTCTGACAGGCCTATAATTACCAGGTCATCTTTTAAAAACATTAGCTTTCTTCCAATCTTCTGGAACTTTCTCAGTGTTCCAAGCCTTATCGAAAAGCAATATTAATGGTCCAGTGAGCTCCTCAGCCAGCTCTTTTAATATTCATGGATTCAAGCTATTTGGACCTGCTGATTTAACATATCCAACTTTAGTAGCTGCTGTTTAACATCCTCCTGAGACATTAGCGGAATTGAAAGTGTTATTATATAATATGACTACATCATCTGCTTTTCCAAAATACAGAACAGAAATATTTATTGAACACTTCTGCCTTTTCTGCATTATTATTGATAATTCCTATCATTTCTATCTAGAAATGGAACAATACCATTGTTAGGATGTACTTAAACTCCCCCTTACTATCCTTGACTCAGCCTATGTGGGACCAATGCAGAAAGTCAATTTGCAAGTGAGCTGGTGTTACCTAGGACTATCGAAGGAACTGTAGATCTGAATTTATGCTGATCCAGTGGCCCCCATGTTCTGCACAACTGGTGTTGAAGGGTTGTGTGGCAATCCTGCATCTGGGTCCTGGATTAGAGGGGTGAATTTCATGCATAGGACACAAATACTCAGGGTTTATGCTAGTGAGCCAAATTTCCTCTGTGAGATGAGAGTTTGGAAAGCCTACTAGCTGCAGAAGCAGCAAACTATACTATAAAGTAAAAGGTTCACATGATACACAACTCAGCAGTAGCTTCACAGTCACTGGTAACAGTGGGAAAACATCTTGGAAGTGAGTAGCCAGTGCAGAAGCAGCGTACACTGCCTTTGTCTGCAGTTGCAGCTGATGTCCCTCTCTCAAACTCCTGCTGACTTGGAGAGAAGGTAATGGTATTGGATAGCAGTCATTTTGGAAAGGGAGAAGAACTGAGGATCAAAAGCCAAAGCAGAGCTCATGAGTATCTGGCATGGATCTCTGCTGAATCTCCCTGCTAGTTCTAATCACATCAAGAAAGGGATGGAAAAGAACAAAATTCTGGCCCTTTAGCAGAATTTCAGAGTGTTGTTTGGCGCATTGGTTCACTCATTTTGAAATAAGCATATGCAAATAACTACATATTTGGGGGGTTAGCAAAAGAGGATATTAAAAATTAGAGATTTTAATAGATCAAATTTTCATCATTAGGGTACATAAATTGCAAACACAAAGTCTGTTTGTGTATTTGTGTAAGCAAACATGAACCTGCACACAAATGGGGTCTCTTGCATGCAATCATTGCTTTCAGGAGAACAAATACAGGTTTTGCATACACAATGATTTTGAGCATAAAATATGCAGGTGAAATCTAAACACCCACATTTGAAAAGTTGATCTTACTAATGTTATTAAAAACAAAACTACAAGTTGTCCTTTGCCCAGTGCTTATGGTCCTGCAGACTCAGAATATGTATGAGATTAGTCTACAGACTAAATGCTGCATTTGAAATAATCTTTTGTTTTGTTCCTAATATATACATTGATTAAGATCTTCCTGAGAGCCACAGAGGTAAACAACAATTTATGTAATTGTTTTCCTTAGTGTCTGGAAATTCTTCCCAGTAGCGAGATCTGCTAGACAGTAGAATAATCTCCCAAGGGAAGTAGGGGAAGTTCCATCACTTGAGACACTGGACTAAAAATAGCACTAAATAAAATATAGTTAACAATCAGATGTTGGCAAGGATAGACTATATATGATCTAATCGGTCTTGTCATCTCTGACTTCTAAGATGCTCTGACTTACTATAGAGTACCACAATAATTGCTCTCATTGTACCCTTTAACTCTTATGAAATAATAGAGACTATACTTATCCAATTCTGATTTTGCTGCCATGACAGATTATTCTTACTGGACCCTTAAAGAATTTTACCTTCTATAAGAAATTAGATGTCACTCTTACCTACATTATTTTAAGTACACATATCTCTAATTTTAATTAGAGAGACAAGGTGGGTGAAGTAGTATCTTTTATGGGACCTCACTCACCTTGTCTCCTAATATCCTGGGACCAAGATGGTTACAACACTAATTTTAATTGTCTTTTCTAACTACATCAATTAATACGATAAAACCTATTTGCACAGATGCAGAAAGCAAAATTATATTTTTGTAATAAATTCATTTTTTCTAGTTACTTTATTATCCTTATAACTATACAAAACTAATTTAGCCCAGTGTTTCTGGTGCTCTCCCAGATTAGCTTGGAGTATACTGTACATGTTAAAAAGGAGGGGGAATAGAGGGGAACCACCATCTGAAACTCATTAATCAATTAGAATTTTTAAGGGCTTACATCAAAATGTGATCTAGACTGATAAAGTAAACTCTGATTCACAAGAAGCTTTTGTCCCTTGTGTTATGAACATACAGGATACAAATGTGCACTGTACTTAAAATGTGTATCTGGAACCTGGCACAGGATTGTATATTGATATTTTGAACTTATAAGACCCTGGGTTTGAAGCCAGCAACAAATTAACTTTAAAAAAAATATATCTTTCTAGGTTACTGAAAGCCTAGGAATTTTAAAGACTGTTTTTACCAAAGACAATGTTGCTGTCTTGCTAAATGTCTGTTCCACCAAAAGGAAAGCAGGAATGTCATTTGTCTCTCTCACACACATAATAACAAAGCTTTAGGAATGTTTGATATTAACTTTGTCATAAAATTATATGTTCTAGGTAATGATCCTAAGGCAGGCAAAAATCTTGATAGCTGACTTGCAGGACTGCAGGGTCTAGCCCTTACTCCTCATTTTTCTACTTGCCTAATCAAAATGATAGTTAAAAAACTCTGTACAGAAAGGTCAAATCTAAATCTTAGTCTCCATTAGCTAAAGAAGTGCTAATATGTATTACAGATAGCAAATTTTAATAGGGGTTTGCCTGATGAGTTTAATTATTTTTTAAATACCTGCCACTTTGTGCAGAATAATGTGGGTTTATTGCCAATAATCACCAGCTCCTATGACTTTGCATTTAATTCTTAATTTAATTCTTAAATGTTGCTAGGCCTGCTCCCATGAAATCAATGGCCAAGCTTAAAATGACTAATATGGGAGCAGGACAGGTGGCCCTAATGTTAAGCCTGTCTCCTTTCTGATCAAATTATAATAAGAACATAGGGGCTTTTGAAAAAAATACCTAAGTGATTCAGGGGCCTAGGTCCCACTGAAAGTCAGTAAGAGCTGGGTGGCTGGAAGCAATGCTAGTTCCACACCGCCTCACCTCCTTCATCACGGTTTGGCTGAGGTTCCAACCTGGGTTCCACAATGTAATTCTCATCAGATGGCCTATTGTACCATATGAAATGAATTTAGGAATGTCAGCTAATTTCCTATTAAATCACAATCCACATCACAAAACCATTACACTTGGCACAGCCTCGGCTCGGCAGCGAAGAAACAATCCAAGCTTTAATGTGCGTGGAGACTGAAATAAAAGTACCTTCTCCCCCCCGCGCAATTTCAAAGAAATGTCAGACGTGCTCCGGAGCTGGCCGGGAGGAAGGCTACAATGCGTCTGCCCCAGATATTAGCAAAGAATGCTCTCAGTTCCTTTACCTTTCACACGCAGGCAGAGCAAGCCATGCTGCTAGGCGATCGCCCTGCTGCTCCGCATGGCTGCAATAAGGAGAGAGCATTCCTCGAACGGGAATGGATCCTTTCTAAAAACAAGATGAATCTGTGGCGCAACCAGAAGATCCCAGCCTAAAAGGCAAAGCCTGCCCGCCCTTCTGCTGGTTGTGTCTATTGCGTGAGAAAGAAGGCAAAGGAAAAGAGCTCGGTTTAGAATTAGCTGTCCTGCCAGTCCTTTGGGGGTGTCAAGATTGCCCTAATTCCAGTGGCCTAGCTCTGGGGGCAGAGTGATGGCACTATAGTTTGTCAGCCGCCCACCAAACACTTGCTCCTGCGTTTGATGCAGATTGATTTTATTTCCACTGGACAGTGCGGTCATATATAAACAACCTACCTTTCCCTCTTCTTCCAGCCATAGTACTCGAGGGCTGGTGAACGGGGTAAGAGCAGACACAAAACAGAGAAGGGTCCCGAATGGTGCGCTAGACATTTACAAGACTTTCATGCAATGCAACTAAGGCAAAAATATTCTCCTCCTGGGATCATTCTGAATATTTTGTTGCCAAGCACTCACCCCTAGCCCGAACCCTAGTAAGTGAGCAGCTCACCGTCTGATCCATACTATTCTGGATGATTAGTATTAGTTTGCTCTCTTCGGGGCCCATGCATATAAACCCGGACTGATGGCTTTGCCGTGGGTGTGTGTAACTCAGCTTCCCAACTCCGGCTCATTAAAGGAGAGACAATGCAAACATTCATGGAAGGTTTATCTGCATTCAAAAGCGTTCGTGTTAGTCGCGCGGAGAGGCTGCACCCTGGCAGGCTCCTGAACTGGAAATAATGATTCTCAAATCATTAACGTTGCTTTCCCCCCGCCGCCACTTTGCCGCCGTGAGACTTTCAAACTCCGGATCGTCCCGGGGGGAATTGCTTCCCCAGTTAGTAGGCAAACGAAAGATTTTTACCTGTGCAGGAGCGCACCGATTGCAATTTGCAAACTTCCTAGCCCAGCTCTCCCCGTCCCTTGCCTATCTCTCTGCTGCAGCGCTCTAAGCAGTTTCCCCTGCTGTATCCATTAATCAACTCGTTGGAGGTGAGATTTCTTGCAATTTCAAGATAAGAGAAAGAAAACAAAAGAAACCCCACTCTAAGGTGACAGGCTGAAGGGAAATAATCGTTTTCTTGCTTAAATCCCCCGACCCCTCTCTCTCTCAATTCAAATGCAACCGTGAAACAAACAACCAAATCAAACACATTTTAAAGGAGCCCGGGCTCTGACTTCTGTACATGCAGCCAAATGCCTGCACTAACTGCAGTAGCAGTTAGCAGAGCTCTCTCCCCGCGTTAGCCATTTATTAGTGGCCAGCATGCCTCACCCCGCACTCCTTAAGCGCTTGCTTGGAAGAAATCTCACTCACTTTCTTCTTGCAATGCCACAAAGCCCTTCTCCTCCTGCAGCCCGTCCCGTTCTCCCAGCCTGAGCACACCACCAGCAGCAGCACTGCCACTCTTCATACTTCTGATCGCTCCACTTGGTGTTCTCTTTGGGAAACCTCTCTCTTTTCCCCCCCTCCAGAAACAGATTTCCTACATTTCATCAGTCCACATAGACTGAACGGAAGTTAAATGCTTACTTTTTCTGGGGGACTGCAAGCGCAATTGACACTGAATTACCCTTGAAACTCTGAGATATTGTATTACAAGCCCTTGGCAGGAACTTGGCGCTTAGGTCCAAAGTTCCTTTTATTATTATTCCCTTTCCAAAACTATGGTGGGGGTGGGAGGGGTGGAGGAAGATCCCATATTTTAAGCTTAAACTTTTTTCCCCCAAAAATTGCTGGATAGGATTTTTTTTTAAGCACTTACTAGCACCATTTTATATTATAAACCGTTTGCTTTTGCTGCCCAAGGTGACATAATTTCAGCTTTGTATCTTGTGGGCATTGTGTTTTTGATAATGACCTTTAATTACACGTTTTCCCACAAGATTTCATGCTCTTCTATAATATATTTTAAATTAAAATAGATACATTAATAACTCAATGTTACACTTCTAAAAGATCTACTAATTGGTGAGGTGTTTTGTTTGGAAAGCTGTTTAAATACCCACCCCACTTTTATTGCATTCGGTATATTTCAATGTTATGGTAAACGACAGAGATAATGTTCCCCAACTGTTGTTTATTAGTCCATTTTTTGTATGTGCAGAGAAGCCCTTTCATGAATTCAATAGAGGGAAACAGATGTTCAAACTTCTGCTTCACCTTGTGAATGGATGGATATTATTGTCTTGTTGAGTTTCCTAATGGCATCATGTTATCGCTGTCCATAAGAAAGCCCCAGATGAACAGCACACAATTATTTTTCTTTTATAATACTACTTAATAGCTCTATCCCCTATGAACCACTATACTGAAACGGAATTGTCTTAACCAGTCAGAGTGGAGAGATGCAGCTCATACTGACCCTTATTTCTCAGTAATGCATTTTTTTTCACTCTGATGAGCTGGGAAATCTGATTTGCATAATTAATGCATGGTTATTTCTCAATACCCTATGTAAGCAAATTACTGCACTCTGAGTATTAACTAATCAGCTGATCAGTAAGTAGAGGCCTTATGTAAATTAATGTATCCTGACTGGCTATTCTAACCCTGGCTGATTTGATTGGCTATTACCTGCTCAGCTGGGTTTTTTTTCATCAAATCATTGAAACTCCATGGTGAAGTACATAACTATGATGACGTTTTTCCATTGTGTAAGTATCTGCACATCATTAACTCCTCAAGTCCTTGCTCAGCATTTACAGTGTAAAACTTGGGATGGATGTTCTGGGGGCAGTCTCTTCTTTGTTTAGTCCAAGATCCTGGAAAGCTCCAAAACTGTGCATAGCCTTCAAAACTCCACATTGTTATGCCCAGGAAAAGACTAACAGAACAAATACTGAATTAAAATAAAAATCTGACGACAAGTAAAGTGAAGTTAAAGACTTCATGTGACCTTGAGAAACAATATTTTAAAGAATAATGAGCAACATTTATATTCCATATCAATTCAGTCTTAAAAACCATCTTGAGCTGAGAAAGAACTTTCCAGTACCACTGTATTGATGAATGACCTGCTGTCATCTAATAGAAAACTTTAAAAACATTCCATTTAGAAAATGTTCTGTGTATCTAGCTGAGTCTTCCATGCCTGCACTATCCTCAAAGCACATGACTTCCTACTATATTCAGGAGAAATCCTACACATGGACTCAAGCTCTGAGCCTACTCCAGATTTTAAATGATTAAAAAGTCAAATGCACATTTGTATACATGACTATGGAAAGGTTCAAAAAAGTAGTGCAAAGGCTTTCTAGCCAGAATGAGATGTGGACACCTCCTTCATATGGAGAGTGTATACCAAACATTCCAAGATCTGCAACTGGTAGCAGTGGTCCTGGAACTAGGGGTGCTGCTGCACTCCCTGGCTTGAAGTAGTAATATAGGGAATTTTTTCACTTCAAGGTCCCAGAAACACAGACAAGGTTTTCATCTCAAGGCCAAAAGACCAAAAACATCAAGACACTTGATCACGACCTTGGATAGACCAAGAGACTACTGACACTTGATCTTAGCTCAAAGAGCCGAGAACTAATACCAAATACATGGTTTCCATGATCAGCATCCCCACTATAAAAATTGTTCCAGCACCCCTGGTTGGTAATAAAGGATGATTCATTCTCATAGAGTTTTGACTATATTTAATCTTTTTTATACTTTTATTGTTTTAGTTGCTATGATTACTCATCATCACTTGGAAAAGAATTTTCAAATGCTAGAAGGGGAATATGCAACATACTGTACAACAGTTAAAATCCACAACACCTGTACAATTTAAACCCTATCCAAGAAGGACTGGTTGGAACAAACTACCAAGCATGCATCTGAAATCAACATTATACATATACTTTGGAGCCATCGGTAGTGACACCACAATTATGAGTGCATTGAGATTTGCACTTAAAGGTCAGGACTAAAATCTCTGTTTCCTACTTTAATAACTGAATTTAGCGTCTAAATTAAACACAGTAGCTTATCAAAGAATCATTGAATTTTCTGTGTAAGTTTATGTTAACTTGTTAACTTTTGCAGAGGAAACCATAAAAATGCTCTCCTTTTGAAATTTTGTCCTGTTTTCTTCACATTTCCTTGGATCCTTCTAGCTGAACAACCATAGTCCCACAAAACATTCAACTGTATGCACTCATTTTGGTAACATCCAGACACAGACCACCACCAAAGGACCCTGGGGGATGAGTGGGCATCAAGGGGAAGGGTAACTATAGGGAGAGGGTAGCAAGCAGAGTGAACAGGGCTTGGAGAGGCCTGAGGAGAAAGTGGCTTGTGAGGGGATGCTATGGTTCTGCACAAAGTCTTAGTCAATGCACACTCAATTTCAATTATTGCTATTCTGTGTGAAAATTACCACCACATTTAGGACAATATGTACCATACATGGCCATTCACATAACTTTAAGAATAGGAAGGGTGACATTACCTCTGAGTATGGTATTGGTGAGACCACCACTTGAATATTGGGTCCAGTTCTGTTGTCCACATTTTTAAGAGGATGTTGAAAAAATGGAAAAGTTTCAGAGAAGAGTTATACAAATGATTTGTGGTCTAGAAGACATGCCTTATATTCTTCTAAAGTAGTTCCAACTATTAAACTTATGGCTAAGGTTAAGAGATTACGTGATCATGGTCTATAATTATCTACACCGGGAGAAGATATCTATACTAGAGGCTCTAATGGCTGGAAGTTGGAGTCAGCAAAGTTCAAACTGGAAATAAGATACAAATTTGAAGTGATGGGAGGGGAGGGTAATTAATAAGTTACCAAAGGCTGTGATACGTTTTCCATCACTTGGAGTCTTTAAATCAAAATTGTATTTTTTCCCTCTAAAATAAAAGCTTTATCTCAATCAGAAGTTACAGTATTTATCTTGATGCAGGAATTGTTAGGTGAAGTTCTATGGCCTGTGTCATGCAGGAGGTCCCATCTGGTCATACGGGAATTCAGCATTTTTATATCTTCATTAAATAGAGTAGAGGAATGAACAGATCGAGGGTAGTATGTGTCATCTCTGTGTTTGGCAGCTTGAAGAAAAGATATAAATATTTTGAAAATGGGCAAACTTTCAAAAGAATTCAGTCACACATTGAAAGTAACAACTGGATTCATCATTTCAACTGTCAGCAAAACTAGGCATGCCAGAAGTTAAATTGTCTTTATAAACCCATTGCACATGTTGATTTCATAAGCATTTATCAATTCTGCACTAAAATTTACATTTTTATGAATAACATCTACAGACAATTTTGACACTATAAGGAAATATGATTTACCTCTTATTGTGTAAACTTGCTTTACCACAAACACTTTCTATAAGTATAGTTTACACATCATTTATAACTACTTCAAAAACTTTCACAAAATTGCTATCTGTCACAATTGTGAATTCATTGCTATAGAACACAGTCTGAGCAAAAATACCAAATGACATTGTGTTGACAATTGCAAATCTCAACAATAATAAATTGGTTCATCTTTATCATAGACTTGATGTATTCATTAAGGCATCACTACTCATGTTGATGCTCTTACGTAACCTCCCCTAATACAGAAAGGAGACTGATGATCTGTATCTGGCTAGATATGTACGACATTCTGTCCAGGATGGTGGAAAATGGATGCTTACCACAGTAATCTATGACATTATCACTTCTAGAATTGGCTCAAAATAATTTAAGGTACCATAGCTCTTGCAACCATTCAACAATAAGAAAACCCTTATCTGCACAGATTACTACTGTTGTTTTTTAACATGCTTACTAGCTTGCTAGGTGCTTCACAAAACATATAGAAGACCCTGTTCCTGCTCATAAAATGTTATAATCTAACGGTCAGATTCTGCCACTCTTACTCACACTGAGTAGCAATTTATTCCACCAGCAGCCCCAATAAACTCAGTGGGGCTGCTTATTTCAGTGAAGTACTACTCAACATAACTACGGGTGACAGAATCTATCCACTATGGACACAAAAAGCAACAGGGGGAGGGGGAGGTAACAGGAGGACAAGAGTTCAACAGCCATGTTGTTTAGTTGCTTAGAGGGTAATATGACTTTTGATGGGTTTTTAAGATATGACTGGGTTTGTATTTTTTTTTTCATTTTAGTATGTTCTCAAACCACTGTTTTATTATAGAAATATAATTTTCTTATCCTGTATTGTGGCAGGGCAGTCATTTACTGAGCACCCCCTCATAACCAGGGGTCACTTTGAAGGCACCCTGCTCCTCCTAGCTCCCTCTTCAGGCCCCTTAAGCACACCACAACATCACTTTTATGTTTAACAGCACCTCCACCTAGGTCTAGTTTAGTAAGATTCAAACAGCCCTCAAAGTCCTTAATAACAAATTGCTCAAACACTCCTCAGAGAGTCCCAAAATAAAGTCCATAACCATGATACAAAAGTTCATACTTAGCCCTGGTTTTTCTGCCAAACACGGAGCTCTTCCACCTCCTCACTCTACTCCACCCAAAGCCATCAGTCTTAGCCCTTTCTAGCTGACACTTGGCCCTAGCGTCTT